CATCCATCCATCCACCCATCCATCCATCCATCCACCCATCCATCCATCCATCCACCCATCCATCCACCCATCCATCCATCCGTCCATCCATCCATCCACCCATCCACCCACCCATCCACCCATCCGTCCATCCACCCATCCATCCATCCACCCATCCATCCATCCATCCACCCATCCATCCACCCATCCATCCACCCATCCATCCATCCACCCATCCATCCATCCACCCATCCATCCACCCATCCATCCACCCATCCATCCATCCACCCATCCATCCATCCACCCGTCCATCCATCCATCCATCCACCCATCCACCCATCCATCCATCCACCCATCCATCCATCCATCCATCCACCCATCCACCCATCCATCCATCCGTCCATCCACCCGTCCATCCATCCGGCGGTGGTCCCGACCTCGACGCGACAAGCACAAAGCCACAGGGGCAGCCCCGACCCAAAGCACAGCCCCACGGGCCGGCTCGGGGGGGGCAACCGCGTGGGCTCAAGCCGTTCCTACCTCCCTTTAGCTGGCCGGGAACGCGGGATCCCCTCCAGAGCGCATGGGGCGTTCCAAGGGGGAATTTTAGGGGCGTTGCGAGCAGGACCAAACCAAACCCAAGCCCTCCCGATGCCTTCGCCCCCCCCCCCCCCCCCAACCGCGCCACCGGGAGCCCCACACACCAAAGAGGCAGCAGCAAGCGAATGGAAACCAAAGAAACCGGTCCCGCGCCGCGGCGGCGACGGGAGCCACGCCAAACCAAGGGAAGCCAAGGAAGCCAACCGTGGCCAGCTCCAGCAGCCAATCGCGAGGCTTGGAGAAGCAGGAGGCGGGGCCTCCCCCCCACCCCACCCCACCCCATTGCAGGTGGTCTTTCACTCGTGCCTATGCAGTTTCCTCCCCACAGGAGCCGAGCGAGCGAGAGCTCGGCAGCTACACAACCAAAGACAAGGAGGCTTCGCACCCGTGGCGCTGAGCTCCCCATGGGTTCCCTTGGGGGGGGGTTCCCTTTGGCTCGCCCCTCTTTCTGCCCCACACTCTGGTGGTTGGGCCTGATGGGTTCCGTTGGGTGCAGTTGTTGTCGCCCTCTACGCGTAGAGCTTCGAAGAGCCTGCCTTTGGCGTGTGGAGCCCATTGAGCATCCTCCTCCTCCTCCTCTTCTTCCTCCTTCCCCAGGGATAAGACTGCCTGTAGCTGGGGATCAAGGTACACCCGGATGGGTGCCGGTGGTTGGTCAAGTGCTACGGCCCCGCTCCATCTCTTGCCTTTCAACTTGGGCTTCTTCACTCTTCCGAGTGCGTTGCATGGGCCTTGGAGCACCCTGTCCCGGTGCGAGGTAGCCCTGGGGGTTGGAACTCCAAGTCCATCCCAGCCCCAAAGCCGTCCAGGATGCATCCCCAGAGCCATACCAAAGCCAACGCAGGCAAAGCACTGCTTTCCTCCAACCCCCTGCCCACGTCATGGGGCTCGCTCCTCTCATCCCTCCTGCTCCTGCTATCCCAGCACCATCCACGCCGTGCCCTTGGAGTAGCGACTACGGCGCGCGCGTCCCAGGTGAATCCGCCTTCCAAGAGCCCTTGGATATCGCCGCCGTTGAAGGGCTTTGGTCCTCATCCCTCTTCCCAAAGACCTGAGGAGGATTAAACCAGCAACCGCCGCTCCAACCTGGGAATGGGACGCAGGAGACGGGAATGCCGCGGCACCGCCACCGGTCCACCGGTGCTCGTCCCAACGCCAAAGCGGTTTTAAGGCGTGGGGCAGCCCCGTTTCCCTTTCTGGGGAGGGCACCTTCACCCGTGGGAGGCTTTGCAAAGGGCCAAGCTTCCAATGGGATCCGTTCGGCTCCTGAGGCTTTGGGATTGAACCCCAAACCGTCTCTATGGAAGGCAAGCGCGGGCTTGCTCCAGTGCAGACGCCATGGAGCGGGAAGATCCCATAGGGATTCCGCCTGGACGCAGAGCGCAGGATGAGGCCACGCTTGCACCCCAGCCTTTGGGGCTGGATTTGGGATGGACTTTGCTGATGGATCCCATTCTGCACCCTTTGCTCACAGGTACCTTTAAGCACCACCGCCTGCCTTCAAGAGGGAGTCCGAGGACAAGCAAAGGCTTTTCCACCTCCAACCCTGCATCCTGAATGGATTCGGCCTGGGATGGGATGGGATGGGATGGGAAAGACCTTGGGGTGCTTTGCCTGGACCTTGGGGCTTCTTCACGCTGAAGCAACAGGAGAGCCCCCTTCGGCAAAGCTGCTTCCAAGGAGGAGCTTTGGCGCGCGCGAAAGGATGACCAAAGAGAAAAAACAGGGAGAAAAAACAGGGAAAAAGGGAGAAAAACCAGGAAAAAAAGGAGAAAACCAGGAAAAATCCCCCCCTTCCCTCCCCTTGTATTGCTAGTGAGAACCAAAGAGCCTACCTCACCGTGTTGCTGATACCAAAGATACCCAAGGTCTCTTGACCCTTCCATCCTCTTCCCCCCTACCCGAAGCATCCCATGAAGGGGATTCCCTCCGGGATGCTGCTTGATATCCCCACCAGCTCCACAGCTGGGGTGGGTACCCAAGGGAGGGACCCCTTGCTGGGAGGACAGTGAAGGCCCCTTCCTTGGCTGCGGAGCATCGCTGCTGGGCCGTGAGCCTTTCCCTATGGAGCATCCCTCGGGGTGCCCATGGAGCCCTCTGTCCGCGTTGCCTTCGCTCCGTCGTCCCCGGGGCACCAGTGCCTTGCGCGAGCCAAAGCAGCGGCCTCGGGGCCTCTCGGGGCCCTCCTCCTCCTCCTCCTCCTCGTGACTCTTCCCATGGATACCTCAGCTCCAAGCGGGCCTCGGAACAGGCCCATGGATACCAAAGGCCCTTCCCTTCCCTTCCCTAACCCTAACCCTAACCCTAACCCTATTGCCTGCCCTTAAGGCTGTGGTGGGGATGTGCAACGAACCCCTTCCACGTGGCCTTCCCCAGCAGCCGGCACCTGCCGACGTTCCGGACCGCTGGAATCCCAGGTCTGTGACAGCCACGGAGCTGGAGCAGCCAAAGAGGAAACGGCTTTCCTCGCTGAGCAGCCGAATTCCATGGCTCCCAACCTCGCTTTCCGAGCTCCCGATGTAACCCCCCCCCCCCCCACCCCAACCCTTCTTTGCCAAAGCTCAATAAAGGAGGAATCATTCCCTTGGGAATGGGATCGTTCCGTTCCGAGCGCTGCACGGTGCCCACCGGGGGCTCTGCTCCAGCCCCCTCAGTTCATCGAGCTCTGTTGTGGCCCCCCCCATGCACCAGTTTGAGCCCAAACTGGGCGTTCCAGCTGGAACTGGCTGCTGGGATAGCAGCGCATCCGTCGGGAACGATGCTCTGCGCTGGCGCAGGGGCAGGGCTGGCATTCCCGGCATTCCCTTAACCGGCTCCCGTTGGAGAAGGGGACAAAGCAGGAGCGAGAGGGCATGGGGACAAGGGAACAGGGGGGCCGGGACAATGGGAACGGCGCTCACGCGCCCGTGATCCGGAGGGAGCGCGCGCATTCCAGGGGTTTCTTCCGAGAGTTTAATTGCGATTCCGCCTGGCTGGCAAAGAAGAGAGATGGGGATGCAACCCGCGGGGGGGGTCACATCGCATGGAAGCCCTGGTTGGGTGTGAAACCCCTGCGTTGGGATCGAAGTGAGGCGTCAGGAAGCCAAAGGAACTCAGCCCCCTCTCCCATCGGGCAGAATTCCGGCTCCTTGCGAGGGATGTTCCCGGGAAACCCCTGCTGCTGCCGGGCTCAGCCTCCCCTCCAAGCCCAGGCCGTAGCCACGCGCCGCTGCAGCCCCTTCTCCAAAGCACATCCAGGGAATGCTTCGAGATTCCCAAAGGGAAAAGAGCCTAACCCTGAGCCAAGCCTTCCCTTTACCCCCCGCTCCGAGCTCCCTCCATTCCCGCTGCATTCCCTGCCAACGGGCTCTTCCCAAGGCGATCCCGGGATGCGGAGGGATGGGAGCTGCTCCCAGCCCTTCCGACTGCAAACAGCACAGGGAGCGGAAGGGGGAACAACAGGAATCCAAGTGGATGTGCATCCGATGGGGGCTAAGGGGGGCCAAGGGAAGGGGAGCTGGGGGGGGGGGGGACGATCCCAATGCGCCGGGAAGAGCCGGGATTAGGGCAGGATACCCCCCTGTTCCCTTGGGGTCTGTTGCCGGCATTAAGCAGAGGCTTCCCCCCTGGAAGCTTCTGATGCCCTAAAGGACAGAGGGACGGGACCTGATGTCCAGACCCCCTTGCAGTGCCCAAACCCGCGTCTGGCTCGGTCCTTAGGGAACCTTTGGGCTCAAAGAGACCTTAAAGCTCCCCCTCATCCCAACCCTGGTCCCATGGCGTTTTATCCCCCACAAGCCTTAAGGAGCGGGCTTAAAAGCAAGCAGGGGGTTTGGCTGGGCCACGGATGCTGCACCTGAGCTCCCCCTTCGTCCTAAGCATCAGCTGAGCCTATGGAGCTCCACGGGCACAAACCCCACCTCGGAGCTTCGGGAGGGCAAAGCAAAAGCTCCTTCACCCCAGAGAGCCCTTTTTAATGCTGCTGTTTGAAGCCATTCTGCCTCAGAGATCCCCCCCCCCCACCCCATTCCTGCCCTCCAAGGCTTTGCTGCATAGGGGTTCTGGGCTTTGGGCTGTCCCCGTGGAGGCAGGAGGAAAGCCAAAGCAAGCCAAGCCCTTTGTGCTCTAACCCCCCCCGCCCCGGCCCTGCTCGAAGCACCAGAAGTCACTTGATCCTCAAAGCCATGGGAAGGGACCCATGGGGGGTTACCCCCCTTCACATCCATCCCCGCCTAGGAAAGTCGCAGCTCCCTGCTGGGGAAGCTGCTCAGTGCTCCCAAGCCGCCCACGCCGTTCCCATCCCCGCTCCCCTACTGTCTACAAGCTCTTCCCAAAGGCAAGCAAAAGCAGCGAGCCCCACAGCGCTCCTCCCGGTACCGAGCCCCCCCCCCCCCCCAATGGGTGCAAGAGGTTTTGGGTGCTGGAGGGCCCAGCATCACCCCTCAGGGCGCCTGGCCGGTGAAGAAGGCTTTGGCCTGCCTGCACACGGGGTTCACGCAGAGAGGGCAGCAGAGGGGCAGCTGCCTGGAGCACACCTCCTCGGACGCCAGGTGGGAGCACACGAGCTCGGCCAGCGCCTGCGGGAGAGCAAATCACGGCCTTGCAAGGGGCCTTAAAGCTCATCTGAAGCCGAGAGGGGCCCCCCCCCAACCGCCCTCGGGGGGGTCAAGGCCGTTACCTTGGAGAACAGAGGGTTTCCATTCAGGGACTCCGCTCTTCGGATGTTTTCGACTCCACACTGCATAAAAACAAGGGGGGGGACCCAAGTTAAGCCTGACAAAGGCCTCCCCAGTGAGGATTCAAAGCCTCCCTCGCCTTAAACCGCTTCCGATCCATAGGAAAAGGCATTTTGCCCCCACATGCCATTGGAAGAAGCAGCTCCAAAGGGAAGCGAGGCCCCCAGAGCGCTCACCTCGTTGGCCAGGACTTGGGCGTACTCGATGTCCAGCTCGTAGAGCGTCTCGATGTGGTCGCTGGTGAAGGCTATAGGGACCAACAGCATGTTCTTCTGCCCTCGTTGGCACAGGCCTTTGATGGTCTCGTCCGTCTGGGGGCCAAGCCAAGGCATTGGTCCAACCTGCAGGCAAAGGGGAGGGAAATGAAGGCGTACGTGGGCTTTAGGGACTCAATTCTTGCGTGGGACAGCCTCAGGGACCTTAGGAAGCGCTGCCCTGTGAGGGCGGTGGGGCGCTGGCATGGGTTTGAATGGAGAAGCACCAAGTAACAAAGCCGGTTTGGACTGAGCTCACGTTAGGATGACGTTGATCCAACGGGAAGAGCGGTTTGAGTCATTCTGCTCCAGCAGGAACACCGGGAATGGGGGAATAAGGCGCTGAGGCTGTGAGAAGGGGGTGCTCTGGCCCCTTACCTTGGACTGCCACACCAGCCTGTAGGGGTTGGAGTAGTTGAGCTTCTCCATGACCCTCTGCACCGTGGCTCCCACCTCCTGCGGGTACGGGTCCCCGCGGTTCACCACCTGCGACACACGCACGGCACCCCGGTGTCACCCACGCAGAGCACCCATTGTGCAGCCCCAGGGCGGGACGGGAGCACCCCCGTTTGCTACTCACAGACATGGGGAGGGAGTGAGCAGAGAAGAGGATGACGACGTCTTTCCTCTTGTCGGGCGGGAAGAGGTCGAGCTCCTTCTGGATGTGGTCGGTGAAGCACTGCTCGGAACGGAGAGACCCGGATCAGAAACACTGGGGTGGGAGCGGGGCACAGGGAGGAGGGACACGGAGAGGGGAATGGCTTTAACCTGCCCCAGGGAACACTGGGATGGGATGGTGGGAAGCAGCTCTTCCCCGTGAGGGTGCTGGGCCCCCGGGGTGGGCTGAAAGGAGGAGCAGGGGCTGCCCCATCCCTGGCTGCGGTCAAGGCCGGGTTGGCCCAGGCATCTGGCACGAAGCGACCCGTCTTCTCCTGCAGTTCAGACCCCGCAGGCAGCGAAAGAGCTCATTACTGTGACTGCAGGACAGCCCTGGAGCATCGCGGCTGGCGCCGTACCTGGATAAGGAGGGGATGTGTGGGCCACCGGTCAATGATGCTCCACTTCATCTTCGGCTTCGCCCCTTTCTGGCTGTAGTAGCGGTAGATGGCGTTTAAGCTGCTGCCTGCAGGGCACAGGGCGAAGCTCACCGGCGAGCACTGAGCTCCACGCACCTCGGGGGGAAGGCGCGAGCGCCGCAGCGGCGGCGCGGAACCGCACGCGGAACCGTGTGCGTCGGCCGGGACCTTAAGGCTCAGGCAGCTCCCGGCCCCGGCCGCCGGGGCAGCGGGGAGGGGAACGTCGGCCGGTGCTCGGCTCGGCAGGGAAAACCAACCTGTGGTGGAGCAGCTGTACTGGGGGTACTGGGTGAAAGCGACAGCCCTCTCGATGCCGTCCCGCTCCATGGCTTCAATGGCCTCTTCCGTCAGCGGGTGCACGTAGCGGAAGCCGATGTAGTACTTGTGAGGCGCTGCAGTGAGAGCACGGGAAGGGGAAGGGGAGCAGAGAGCGTCAGAGCGCCTCGGCAGCAAGCGCGGAGCCCAGCCCACCACGCCGAGGCCCTGAGGAGAAGGCCTGCGGGTGCTGGGCTTGGACGGGGGGAGCCTTTCGAGCACCTCCCGGGGCCGAAAGGGGCTGCAAGGGGCACGGGCCGGCGGCGTGGGGCTGGAACTTGGGGGGGGGCTTTGAGGTCCTTTCCAAGCCAAAGCACTCCAGTGCTCCCGGAAAGCCAGCCGGCATGCACAACCTCTCCCCTGTGCCACACGCTCCGAGGCTTATCCCCACCACCCGGCCAAGAGGAGGCCCCCGGAGGCCTTATCAGGAGCAGGAGCTGCCCAGGGCTGGGCGGAAGGGCCCCGAGCGCAAGAGCAGATAAAGAGGGGCCAAGCTTTATCTGCGGAGCCCCCGGCAGCCCCTAGGGCCTTCGGTGCTCCTCTCCTCCGGGGCAAGGCTGAGGCCGCAGCCACACCGCCGCAGGGAAGGGCGCTGCTGACCCCCTCACAGGGCGCCAAGGAAGGGGTCCCTCAGCTCCCGGTACCACGCTCCCGTCGCAGCGGGCGCTGGGTGCAGGGCACGCGGCACCGCGGGCGCTCCCCCGCATGCCCGCTGCTCCCGGGGGCACCACGCATGGTGGGGTGTGTGGGGGGGTGATGGCACCGTGGCCCCTGCCCTCCGTGGGCATCCAGGGGCTTCTCCTGCCTGTCCCAGGGGAGGGGGCACGGGAGGGCACTGCCACAGGCTCCGAGGATGCTCCGGGTTGAAGGGAGCTTAAAGCTCACCCAGCTCCAAGAGGGACAGCTCCCAGCAGAGCAGCTTGCTCCCCGCGCCAGGGATGGGGCAGCCCCCGCTGCAGGGTGACCCCGCTCCCGTGGGGAAGAGCTCCTTCCCTATATCCCACCTCTGGCACCTGAGAGCCATCCCCCTTGTCCCGTCCCTACAGCCCTCGGCCGGCAGGGCAGCAACCCACGCGGAGGCCTTATCTCCTGCTCCTGCCCTGGGTGCAGCTGCCTCCTATCAGCCAGCCAAGCCCCGCCACGTTCACCTACGGCCCTTGTCTCTTCTGCCAAGCCGCCCCCCCTCTTCCCCCTGCTCCCAGGCCCCATCCCCGTGCGCTCTTCCAGCCCTTATCCGCAGCTCCGGAAGGCCGGGATGCACCCAGGACAAGAAGGCGCGGTACCGGTGCGAGGAGACATGCTGTCCAGCAGCTTCACCATGCCTTCCCCTTGCAGGGCCGTCCACTTCTTGATGGGGGACCCGCCTCCAATCCTGCTGTACTGCTCCTGCACCTTGGGCGTGCGGCGCTTGGCGATGAAGGGCGCCAGCTTGCTGCAGCGGGCGAAGGGACACGGAGCCCCATCAGCACCAAAGCATCACCTCGGCCCCCACCTCCCCGAGCCACGGGGTTCCACCCGCGTTAGCTTCCGCCTTCCCCAGCTTCCTCGGCGGGGGGAGACCGGGGCTTGCAGGAGGAGAGGGCGATCCCTGGCCACGGAGCTGAGCCACCTTGCTCCCCACAGAGCCGCCAGACAGGACAGCAAGCCCAAGGAGAGCCTCACCTCTGGGCCGGCAGCGTCATGAGGTCTGTGTCCAGGAAGAGGCGAAGCAGGAAGTCATGGACATCATCCAGGCGCTCCGGACCGCCCATGTTCAGCATCAGGATTCCCGTCTTGGGCTTCCTACGGGAGCAAGAGGCAGTCCCAGTGCCACTGAGCTGCTGCTTGAGGAGCGCCGTCCTTCCCAGATCAGCTGAGCCTTCCGCGCCAGGCCCTTCGCCCAAGCAGCTTCCTGCTCGCAAGCTCATCCCGCTCATGGGAAAAGAGGAGCTGCAAGCACAAGCAGGCCCAGGACGAGCATTTGCTATGGAAAGGAACCGCTTTGGGACGGAGTCGGACCGGGAACAGGCTGAGAGCGCGAACAAGGCGGTACGGGAGGCTCTAAAACAGGGTCTAAGAACCCCTGCCCATCCCTATCGGGACGGGATGCGCTTTAGGGTCCTTCCCAAGCCAAAGCAGCCTGCACTAAGAGCCCAGTGTTCGTCCTATTGCCCTGCCCCAGGCCTTCCTTCGGCTCACAGCCCCCCAGGGCACCCCCCCCAGGCCCCACTCACTGCGGCTGCGTGCGGGGCTGGGTGCTGGCTGTCACGGCGGCGGCGGCGGCCTGAGCCCTCCATCGCAGCGGGAGCCTCAGCTGGCTGCTGCCCTGCAGCACTGCGAGAGAGGGGAGAGCCCCGTGAGCACCCCGCGCCCCGCCTGGAGTTCCGGGGCCTGGAATCCACGGGAGGGAAGGAACGGGAACCTCCGGCCTCCCTCTGCGCACCCAAACCCAGCCCGACCTTCCGGCTCAAGGTGCCGAGGCCAAGGGCACCAGGGAGGGCTCCCACACCGCGGCAAGGAAGGGAACTCCTCGGAGGACACCTGGGGGGCCGCAGGCAGGCAAAGCATCTCTACAGCATCCCTATAGCACCCCTATAGCATCCTTATAGCATCCCTTACAGCACCCTTATAGCATCCCTACCGCATCCCTATTAGCACCTGTAAAGCATCCCTACAGCATCCCTATAGCACCCTTATAGCATCCCTACAGCATCCCTATAGCACCCGTAGAGCATCCCTACAGCACCCGTATAGCATCCTTATAGCACCTTTATAGCATCCCTACAGCATCCCTATAGCACCCGTATAGCATCCCTACAGCATCCCTATAGCACCCGTACAGCATCCCTACAGCACCCGTATAGCATCCCTACAGCACCCCTATAGCACCCGTACAGCATCCCTACAGCACCCGTATAGCATCCCTACAGCATCCCTATAGCACCCTTCTAGCATCCTTATAGCACCCCTATAGCATCCTTATAGCATCCCTATAGCATCCCTATAGTATCCCTACAGCATCCCTATAGCATCATTATAGCATCCCTACAGCATCCCTATAACTCATTATAGCATCCCTACGGCATCCCTAAAACATCTCTACAGCATCCCTATAGTATCCCTACAGCATCCCTACAGCATCATTATAGCATCCCTACAGCATCCGTACAGCATTCCTACAGCATCCCTATACCATCACTATAGCAAGCCTATAGCATCATTATAGCACCCCTACAACATCCATACAGCATCCCTATAGAATCATTATAGCACCCCTACAACATCCATACAGCATCCCTACAGCACCCCTATAGCATTCCTACAGCACCCCTATAGCGGGATGAGCACGGCTGGGGTTGAGGAGCCTTCTCCAGGCTACCCCACGCCAACACCTCGACCCCGAACAGAAGCTCTAAGCGATCCTTGGGCGTTTAAACTCCGTGAAGCCTTTGCCTGCGCTCAGCGCGGGTTCTGCCCGGACGCCGCCGCGGTTTCAGCGCCGTTTCCCTCCGTTCCAACGGGACATCAGCGCCCGGACACGCCGGGATGCGCCGTTTCCTTCCGTTCCAACGGGACATCAGCGCCCGGGCACGCCGGGATGCGTCCGTCCCGCGCAGCACCGACGGCAGCGGCTCGGAGCGCCCGACGGGAAGGGCTCTGCCCCGGGCCCGTGCACAGAGCGCACCCGCGGGCCGGGAACGGGGCCCCGGGGCGCTCCGCACCGCGCACAGCGGGAGCGGCACCGAGGGCAGCCGGAGGCCCCAGCGCCGCTCCCCCCCCCCCCCTCCCCGTTACGAAAGGCCCCGCTCCGTTGTGTAACCGGGACCCGCCGCCGCCACCGCCCCCCCCCCCCCCGGAGCCCGGAGGCCGCTCCCCGTCCGCCGCCGCCCCCAGGCCCCGCTCCAGGCCCCCCGCGCTCACCGGGACGCGCGGCCCGGCCCGCGGCCGCCGCCATGTTGGCCGCCCGCATTCCCTCAGACGCTCCGGGCCCGGCCCCGCGCCTCCCTCCCTGCCCGGCCGCGGGGCGGGGACGGGGCCGGGGCCAGGCGGGGCCGGGCCCGGGGGGCACCGGTAGCGCTGAGGGGGCGGAGGGGAGACATCGACCCCAGGGTCCTAAAGGGGCTCCGGGGAGGGGGGGGGAGGTTGGGATAAGGGATGGGAGAACGGGAACGGGTTTGAGCCGGCCGAGGGAAGGAGCCGTCCCCGGGCGGGCGGGACGTGGAAGGGCAGCGGGGGCGGCCCTGAGCTCCCAGGCGCCCTCCGCCACGGATGGAGGGGTCCGTGCCCATGGCGGACACGGCGAGGGCATCCCGAGCTCGGCAAGGAGAGGCAGGGCCCGCGGTGCTGCTGCAGGGAGCATCCTTTATTGGGGGCTCACAGGGGACATGCAGGAGGGAGGAAAGCGGCCCCGCACGCTGAACACGCACTCAATCCTATCCCAGAACGGGGCTCCAGCCCGGGAAACCAGTGCGGTGCAGCTGGGAAAGGGGGAATTGCTCCACAGTGAAGCCAGGCTTCACGGGGCGAGGAGAGGCAGGAGCCCACATCCAATTGGACTGCTAAGGGCCCAGCTCCTTTGGGATTGGAGGGCAGCACGCTGCTCCTGTATCCATCAGGATCCACGCTCCGACACGCATACGGGTCCTTCAGCCCCAGGGAAAAGGGATAAGCAGCAACATCCCCCCCCCCCCCCCCCCAGCCTCATCCCTCCTCACCAATAAATAATCAGGGAAACACAAGGAAAATCCAACCCACACCTCTTGCAATGGAATTCCGTGCTGGATCCCACTCGAGCGGAGCTTCCATGCAAACAAGGAGCGCTGCTCAGCTCCAGTATTCCTACTTCACTGCCTCCTTCCTCCCCTTCCCAGCCATTGCCATGTGGGAATTCAAAGCAAGCTGCCCCACTCAAATGGAATCAAAAGCACCAAGAGCACCCAGCCCCAATCCCTCCGAGCCCCACAAATCCAACGGAGGAGCATATTCCCAAGGAGGGACAGGGCTGGAGCTCGGCCCAAGACACATCCACGCTTCTCTTCCAGTCCAGGAGGAGTGTTTTCCATGCAAAGAGGGGTTGATTTTCCTTCCCTTCCCTTCCCTTTCCTTGGAGGAGCACAAGTCCCGTTCTCCCAAGGGATCCTCCTTTTCCTAGGAGCTGCAGCCCTAGGGTTTGCAGCGCTGGACGAAGCGGGGGTACAGGCAGACATCCCTGATGTGGTGCCTGTTGAGGATCCAGGTGAGGAAGCGCTCCAAGCCCAAGCCGTAGCCGCCGTGAGGGCAGGTCCCGTACTTCCTCTGGGCCATGCAAAGCAAAGAGGAGATGGGAATCCCGGGCATCCCGTTTATGCTGGCCCAGCACTAACAAGAGCAGGAAAAGGGCCCTAAACCATTCCGGGAGTTTTGGGGCGAGGAGGGAGATGGATTCTGCTCCCTGCAGGCGGGGTGCCTGTGGCTGCTTGCCCTGACTTCCCTCGCCGTGGGGACTATGAGGAAAGGGAAGGGAAAGGCCGAGTGCTTCCCTGTCAACCTCTCCTTACCTAACCCACCCCATCGCAGGAGACACCGCGAGAGGAAGGCGTCCCCGTGGGCGGCTCCAGCAACGGTGTGAGCGCACAGGAACCGCTTCCCCACTGCGTTTTGGCCCTGGCCGAATTCCTCGGGGCCAGCCTCCAAGAGGTTTCCGATTTCGGCTGCACCACTGGAGAGGCCGGCAGGGGCCTGAAAGCTCCTCCGGTTCCACCCCTCAGCGCCACCTTCCAAGCCCCGTCCCAACACTGCCCGTCCCCAAGAGCGCTTTAAAGCCCCGGATCCCACCAAGGAGCAGGCGGAGGTGGTGTTACGGACCTGATCCGTGTACCAGTAGTACGGCGTGGGATCGATGCCCTCCCTCTTGTAGCCCTCGAGCAGCTCCTCGCTGTCCCAGATACGCATGGAGCCCCCGACGATCTCCCCCACGTTCGGCATCAACACGTCCACCTAGAGCGGATCCAAGCGTTCCGAGGGGCTGGGAGCAACCCTCTGGGGCCTGCCCCCCGGCGGGATCGGGAAGCCCTACTTACGGACTCGGTGAGGCGGGGATCGTCCTGGCAGCGCTGCATGTAGAAGGACTTGATCTCGGCGGGGAATCGGCACAGCAAGATGGGCTCGTTGATGGCGTCCGTCATCAGCCTCTCGGGAGCTTCGGGAATGTCCTGGCGATAAGGGAGGACTTAGCGCTACGTGAAGCCGAGCGCCCGGCGCCCAGCGCGTACCGGTGTGACACCGAGGCCACGCGTATCCATACGCTGATCCAGGAGCAACCAATCGTCCCTTCCCCATGGGGCAGGCAGAAAACTGAGGAAAACCCAACCTGACCCCCGGCGGCTTCCCAAAGCGGAAGAGCCCAATCTGCCTTCCTCCTCAAACCTCAAGCAGTTTGAGTGCTCCCTCTGCAACCTCCCGTGGGGTGCAGCTTGAAGACCTTTCCCTCCACCATCTTTGAAACCAGCAACAGCAAAGAGGGCAAACGGCAAAGGGCAGCGGGAGTTTGGTGGGGATGAACGCGTGAAGAGCCTCAGCCAGCCTTACTTCTCCAAACTCGTAGTGCGTGCCATCCTCCTTCTTGACATCGTGCTCCTTCAGCCACTCGATGGCTTCGCTGTAGTTCATCCGGCGGAAAGGGCGCTTCGGGGGCTGGAAACCCTGAGGAGGAGCAGGGAAAACCAGTGGGAATCTGGGGAGAACACCACTCCTCCAGGTGACTGGCACGGTCGCGGCAGGCTTGAGGCACAGACACCGCTCTCTGCAGCTCATGTGCCCACAGATTGCTCCCGAGTAACTACATCCATCAAGCTCAGGAGGAGCACATCTCCCCAAAGGCAGCAGGGGACAAAGGCTCTGCGCGCAGTGAAAGCACTTCAGAGCTCCACCTTCTGGGGGAAGAAGTGAATCACCGCTTGTCAATGCTCCAGCCCATCACCAGTACAAGCTCTGGGATAGAGGCTTTGATTCCATATTAAACCCCAGTGTTTTCCTGGCTCCTGGAGCTTGCTAGCAGGGGACTTCTTCCCCCGCCCCTGGAGGAGTCGGTGGGTTAGTGCTTTCCATGAGCGTTGGAAGACGGGGAGCTTTAAGCTCCCTTCCAACCCAACCCAGTCTGTGATGTGACTTCATAGTGTTAGAGCTCCCTGCTTTCCCGAACATTCCCATCAGGAAGAGCTAAAGATCCTATCTGCCTTGCCATTGCTGCCTGTCCCTACGTACCGGGTTCAGGTCGTAGAGTAAACCCGCCGCAGGCGACTTCAAGACCCTGTCCACCACATCACACACCAGGCTCTCCAGCCGGTCCAACAGCTCCCCGAAGCTGATGAAGGGACATTCGGCTTCGATGTGGGTGTACCTGAAACACACAGGCACCGTCAGAGAGCCACCCAGGAGCAACCTCTACTTAGCTCAATGTCCCCTGACGCCCACCAAGACAAGGTCTCACCCCAAACACTCCTCCCACGTTGGGCTGTCTGCCTGTGGTACATCAACCCCCCGCTCCCCCGCCCCGCTTTACAACCTCCCTACTACCCCCCCCCAGCAAAGCAGGCTCCTTCCTCCCTCCTTACTCTGCCAGGTGCCTGCGGGTGCGGGACTGCTCCGCTCTGTAGGACTGCGCGATGCAGAACACGTCCCCCAGGGCCGGGACGCAGGTCTCCAGGTAGAGCTGCGAGGACTGCGTCAAGTAGGCCTCTTCCCCAAAGTAATCCAGCTTGAAGAGGGTGGAGCCCCCCTCCACCTGGGTCTGGACCAGGGTCGGTGGCGTGACCTGGTGGAGAACGACACCGAAGGAGGACGGGCAGGGACGAGGCGCCCAAGATGGGATCCGTAAGGAAACCGCCGCGGGAGGGAGGACACGGAAGCAGCGAGCTCCTGCCACTCACCTCGTAATAACCGTTGGCAAAGAAGTGGTCCCTGAAGGCCTGCACCACCGTGGAGCGCACCTTGAAGATCTTGGCCATGTTCTCGCCTCGGATCATCATGTGCCTGTTGTTGAGCTGCACGTCCACCTCCGAGTCCTCGTTGAGCACGTTGTCAGCTCCTCCCGCTGGCGCCAGGCCGATGAGCTCCCAGTAGTCACAGTTGAGCTCGTGGCCTCCTGGAGCCTGCCGAGGGCGAGAGGAAACGCCTCAGAGGCCTCCTTTTCGGCCCTGGCGGCGCGGTGGAGACGTCACCTTAACCACAGCGTCACCCCGGTGTACAACACCGGGCCGCTGGCGGCCCGCCGTGAGGGGACTGACTCCCTGCAGCTGCTCAACGGGTGGCTACGGAGGAGATGGTAAAACACCGGGACCACACTGCAGGCTCCATCCTCAGGGACGGCAGGAACACAGCCGGACAAGCCCTCACATCAGATCTTCAGGAAGAGAAGGGACCCTTCCTGAGGGCCCTCAGAGGTTCCTCCCAACCAAAACCACCCTGGGGTGACCTCCACTGGGAGCTACTCCTGGCTGGGAGAGGTAGTTTGGTGCTAAAACACAAGAGGCTGGCACTAAAAGCCTTACTACAACCCCAGGGTGAGGAGTCCTCCCCTCTACGAGAAGACTTCCGCATTCTCTAAGCGCCTTGAGCAGCTGCCACAGACCATGGCTCCTGCGAGAGCGATCCCATACCTGCTTCCCTTGGGGAAGGAGGTTCAGCGTTCCGTACGCTGCGACGCTGCTCTCCGTGGAGAGAACCAGCCCGTTGTAACACTGGCACTGCGGGGAGACAGGAGGCAAAGGGAAGGTCAGGTCTGGGCTTGGGGTGACACGGATTGGAGCTCCCTCCTACTTGTAAGCAGCTCTCCCGTTGGCACTTGCAACTCCTTCCCACTAGAGGGGCCTTGGGCAACCCCACAGCTTGAATCAGAGGGTTTGGGGCTTCCAACGAGAGGGAAAAGGAGAGGGACGAGCGCTTCGCTTAACGACGGGACGAAGGCATCCCAACTCACCAGCTCATCCGACAGGACACAC